GAGGTGAAGGCACCCTGATTGAAAATGAGCTTGAATACCAAAGAAATAGTGTATAGATCCTAGGTCTTTTAAAGAGAAATGCTGATGAAGGTTCTCAATGAGTGTAGTGATCTCAGAGTTTGAATCTTCTGTGATTATGACATCATCAACATAAACAATGATAAACAGTGGTGATGTTGAAGAATTCCTGAAATAAAGAGAGCAATCAGCTTTTAAACTCCTAAAACCCAAGGAAATAAGAATTGAGCCAAGTTTGGTTAACCAAGCTCTGGAAGCTTGTTTCAAGCCATATATGGCCTTTTTGAGTTTGCAGACCATCCTTGGTGAAGAAGGAACATCATAGCCCGCGGGTGGTTGCATATAGATCTCAATGTCAATGTCACCATAGAGAAAAACATTATCAACATCAATCTGCCTGATGGACCAGTTATGAGTGAGAGCCACTGAAAGAAGAAGTTTGATTGTTGTAGGCTTAACAACTGAGCTATAGTTTTCTGTGTAATCAATTTCTTCTGATTGTGTATAGCCTCTAGCCACCAATCTGGCTTTATGCCTAGCTATAGAACCATCTAGATTTCATTTAAGTTTAAAAATTCATTTTGAGTTGACAAGTGTCTTGTTGTGAGGTAGTGTTGTCAGCTCTCATGTGTCATTTTTTATAAGAGCCTGAAGTTCATTGTTCATGGATTTTCTCCAATTAGAATAAGAAAGAGCCTCAACTATAGATGTTGGTTCAAATTCAGAAGTAGTGGTGGTAAAATGATACACCTTGGGTTTGAATATGCCTCTTTTGGATCTGGTAGTCATTTGATGAGTGTTGACAGAAGCTGCAGGCTTAACAATAAGAGAAGAATTAGTAGCGTCTGAATTAGTATCAACTATTGTCTCAATAGGTAAATCAACATAAAGTTGTCCTCGCATTATAGGGGAAGATGGTAATAAAGTATGTGAATTATGAGATGGACTAACTGAAATATGTGAAGAATGTTGAGAAGGTAGATGTGGTGACGATGAAAGCTGTGGTGATGGTGAAGATGGATCATTGTTGGGGAATGATTGTTGAGGTGAAGAGAGAGAAAAATATGGTATAGATACTGAGGAGTAAGGTTCCATAAAAGTGAGGGTTGTGAATGGTTCAGAAGAAGAAACATGTGATTTGGGAGCTGGAATTTGTTTGAAAGGAACTGTGGACTCATAAAAAACATTGTGTCTGGTTATAATGATCTTACTGTCAGGAAGAACTTTATATCCCTTGTGATGTGGGCTATATCAAAAAAAAAAGTAGAGTTGTGCTCTTTGGTTGGAGTTTGTGAGAATTGTATGGTTTCAACAAGGGAAAGCACATGCATCCAAAACACTTGAGTTCAGAATTATTTGGTTTCTGTTTTGTTAAAGCTTCAAAAGAAGAAAGAAAGTGAATAGGTTTTTGGGGAGTTCTATTCAAATGAAAAACAACAAATGAGAAAGCTTCATCCCAGTATGTGTGAGGCAGTTAGGATTGATTGAGCAAAGACAAACCAATTTCAACAATTGATCTGTGTCTTCTTTCTGCTCGCCTATTTTGTTCAGGGGTGTAGGGGCAGGAAATTTTGTGTAAGATGCCTGAGGTAGAAAATAAAGATTTGAGAGCAAGAAATTCACCTCCACCATCACTTTGAAAGGATTTTATGGTGGTTTTATACTGATTTTCAACAAAGGCTTTAAAGTGGAGAAATGTTGCCTTAGTGTCTGATTTCTGTTTCAACAAGTAAAGCCAGGTAAATCTTGTAGCATCATCAATGAAACTGACATAATACTTATATCCCCTGTGAGAAACAATAAGAGACAAAGATCAGAATGAATTAAATCAAAACGTGCATAAGTATGAGAATCAGACACAAGAAAGGGAAGTTTGTGAAATTTTGATTCCATACAAGTTGAACATAAAGGATTTCCAGCATTGTCTTGAAATAGAATATTACAATGTTTATAGGCCTTCTTTAAAATATCAAATGAAGGGTGACCTAATCTAGAATGCCAAACATCAAAGAGTTCTCCTCTTGCTGCAACATTACAGGTTAATTGAAAGCTATTAAAAGGTGGATTATGATGAAAGAGACTTGGTTTCTTGTTGATCTTGGTGAGGTGAAACTTGTAGAGGCCATTTTCAATGTTCCCTTGCAGAAGGATGTCCCTTGAATTGAGATCCTTCACAAGACAATAAGATGGGTGAAATTCAAAGAAAACCTTATTGTCTTTGGCAAATTGTGTAACACTTATAAGATTCTTGTTTAAATGTGGGACATGAAGAAGATTGTTAAGATGCAGTGTAGAATGAGATATGGGTGAAGGACACTTTATGAAAGCTTTACCATGATGAGCAATGGTCATACCTGCTCCATTTGCCACTTGAATCCTCTCATTGCCACTGTAGTCAGAAGCCATGCTCAAATTACTGAGGTCATTGGTTAGGTGATTGGTAGCACTTGAATCTGAGTACCAGCTTGTGTCATGGCTACTTTCAGAAGCTACATCAATGTTAAAGTTCAACTAGAAATGATTTGTGGTACATGGAAGGAATCATGTCGCTCAAAGATTTGTGACAACCATGACTTGGTTAATTCTTATTTTGATTTTAAGCTTATAGACATATCTATTCAATCATAAGTTTGATGAAATTTTACATTTTTCATTTATTGTGGATCATATAATTAGTTAGACCTAATTGAATTAATAGGCAAACTTAATTAATATTAATATGTATTTTATGGATTATCAATATTCCAATATTAATGAGTCCAAATTGTGATACTTCTCCAATTTTTGATACTTGATCTTGACAATAAGGCATTATAACATGAAGAATGTTAGTAGGATTAGAATTGTAGGTCTCATCCAACATATACTATGTAGTGCCCCAATCGTTAATAAGAATAACATCTCAATTTATTTAATTGTGTAATGTCTTACATTTAATTGCCAAGCTCGCCTAAGTCCTTCGAGATTATTAAATGTTATCGTCTATTTAAATTTTCTTAAGTTAAATAACTGTAGTGTCCCAATCGTTAATAAGATCAACGACATATCATTTTATTTAATTGTGCAATTTGTTGCATTTAATGTTGAGCTCGACTAAGTCCTTCGATATTATTAGACATTATCGTGTATTTAAATTTTTTAAGTTAAATAATTTATTTAGACATTTTAGTCTTTTTAAATTAATCCAATTTTTGAACATTCGATAGTTATTCAAAATTTCGTCTGTTTTGTTTTATTTTTTTATCGAACCGTCGCGAGCCGTTTCTTATAGTCCAATTTATTGGTTTTCTTAGCAAACATTTTCGGCCTTAGCTAGCTCTTATGTATTCGCCCCCTCAAGTTATTTAGGGGGCGATTGGATATAGTTTCAACAGTAAAAAACCAATCAAAACTCAAATTTAACTCAACTCTAATATCTCCAATATTATCAACATAATTAAATAATATTAAACAATCATTCTTATACATTACATCAACTTTAATTCACTATTCATCCACTCACATAATTTTAACTAACCATCACTTCTAATCATTTTTATCCTACTTTACGTCAAATCAATTTTAATTATTTTATTTAAATATTATTTTAATATATCCACTAACAACTAACCGTGCTACTTTTTTTTTTTCAAAATTTACTATAACTAAAAAAAAACCAAATAAAAACTAGTTAATCCATTAAAAATACATATCCACACCTAACCGCCCCTTTTACCTTAGTAAGTTTTGTGGGATATTATCAGCTGAGTTTTTCAGCCCTTAGGGGTGATTGTTTACAAAATAATTTACTCACTTTTATTTCTACTCAAAATATAACTCAACTTTAACTCAACCACACTATTTTTAATATTATTCATATAATTAAATAATACAAACCAATCATTGTTACACATTACATCAACTTTAATTCACTATTCATCCACTCACATAATTTTAACTACCTATCAATTCCAATCATTTATCTCTTACTTTTACATCAAATCAATTTCAATTATTTTATTTTAAATATTATTTTAATACATTCTTAAAATTCCACTACAACTAATCATACCACCTTTTTCAAAATTAACTATAGTTAACCAAAATAACTCAATTTAAACAAATTATTTCATAAACAATCAAGCCCTTAGATTCCTCATTTTTGGGCCCCCAACGGCCCCAGAAATCATCAAACTCTTCACCTTATCACTTTCCCCTCAAGCCACGTTATCCTGAAAATGGTTTATTATTTTTTGGATTAATATCCTACATATGATACGAATTGCAACATAACGTACTGGTTTTAATGAGTAATGTCCCAAAAAATGATACAAATTACAACATAACTTACTATTTTTAATAAGAAATAAGTTAGTGTACCAAAAATGAACTTTAAACAAGTGAACATACAAAAATTAAAATTATTCAGTATCTCTGTGTTTTCCAAGTTTATTTGTAATCTTGTATCATTTGGACCAGAAAGAGATGTCCAAAAGGACCAAAACTGTACAATCCCATAAAGCATTACAACATTTTCCTAGGGGAAAAAAAAAAAGGAAATAGAAAACCACACCCCATGCACACAGTACAACACTTGCATCCAAATAGCAAAAACCAACAGCAGTAATAACATATACTATATATAAATATAAAAGTACAATCAACTAGAAATAAACATTACAATGCAATTTTCACAGAATTTTTGACACCTCCATCAACAAATTTACATTTACGTCCCCCAACTTAGCTGATATTGTGTCAAAAATTCTGTGAAAATCGAATCTCCTTTGTTCCTAGTCAACTATTAGACAACAACTAAAATAAAACTAAAGTCAAAGAAAAAAATAAAAAAAATAAACAAAGAGAGAAATAAAAAAGGACCCACAAAACCCATTAACTATCCGGATCTGGATCTTCCCCACACCCGAACCCGGGACCCACTCCTCCACTAATCAGTAATTATTACACCATCCTCCCGACGGTTGGTGCTCACGTGCGGCCACCTAGAAGTCACGTGACCCGGCCCGGCCCGAATTAACCCCGTTCCAGATCTCTGTAAAAGCCCGAACAATGGTGCCGTGATAGTAGGGGGCGTTGAGGTGGAGGAAGCAGTTGAGGAGCTCCTTAAGGTCTTCCTTTGCGTAGATCTCGTTCTCGATTATCATCTGCAGCATCGACTGCCGGAAGTCGAGGTACGGGTCCTCCGACTCCTTCTCCACCGCCACGCTCCCGCCGCCCACCCTCCCGAACCCCTGCACCGCCCGCAGGCTCCGCACGTCCGACTCCGTGTCCGACGAGGCCTGCGGAGGTGTGTCCACGGCGGACGAGAACGTCGTGCCGGTCGCGCTGTCCCACGAGCTGGAGGAAGGCTGCCGGCTGCGGCGGCGGCGGCGGTGGTGGTGGTGGCGGGGGCGGGGCTGGAAGACGGAGGAGAGCTTGGGGCGGCGGCAGGTGCCGCCGCAGCCGAGGCCGGAGGTGAGGGTGTTGAGGATGTGCTTTTTGGAGGCGGAGGACATTTTGGAGAGAAAAAAAGGGACACTTTTTTTTTTTT